AGGCCGCGGCTGGAAGGAGGCCTCCTTTTAGCCGCGGCCTCGGCCCTTTGCCTTATAAGACGCACCAACTTACCCACCCACGTTTTGGGGAAGCAAAAGTGCGTCTTATACAGCGAAAAATACGGTATATTAATGTATAAGTCTAGAAATTTTAGTCAAAAAAATTGACCCAAAAACCTGAGTCAACTTATCCATATGTCAGTGTAAGTACTGTACTTTGACTCTTACAAAATAAAGGAACTATCCCCTGGTGAAAGACAGGAGTGTAATCTCTCCTGGAAGCACTGACTACCCTCTACCCTCTCCACCAACCTTCAGTATGAGCACAAATAGTTATGCCTGCTAGAACTTTGTAAGTTCTTTGGCACTGTCTTTCTTTGCTTCATCCTTTAGATCGGGGAAGGCAACCTTTTTAAGACCTGGGCCCGTCTCCCATCGCCCAGGTTTCGGCTGGGCCGAGGGGGGTGAGAATGGCGGCGCGCGCGCACACACACCCTCCGTTACTGCGCGCGACTCCCTGCGCATGCTGCAGCCGCCGCAGCGCATGCCACTGCCACCATTTTGGAAATCAAAATGGTGGCCGCAACGCGTTTGTGCATGCGCAAGAGTACTGCACATGCGCAAACGCGTTGTGACTGCCATTTTGATTTCCAAAATGGCGGTCGCAGCAAGCGCGGCCGCAGAGCAGCAAAAATGCGCCGTGGCGGCAACCTTCGGCCTGGGCTGGTAAGTCAAGGGACTGGGGCCTTAACCAGCCCCCGGGCCATAGGTTGCCGGTCCCTGCTTTAGATCCTTTGTTACATGGCCCTGAGTTTTGCCCTCAACTTATCCAGGGGTCACCACCTAATTTTGGCCCTTAAAAAAAAAAAAAGATCTGCCCTCGACTTATGCATGAGGCCAAGTTACAGACAAGTGTATGCAATATATATCTAGAAGACATTCAGTTGCCTGTCCCAGCTTTCAGATCTATGACAGGCAAATAAAAGATTTGGACTTGCTGAGGAACATCCCTCCTGAAATGAACTTGAAGCAAATTAGACTGCCCAGCTGAGCATGACATGGTAGCCTTGAGAAAGTTCCTAAATCATAAGATTTTCAACAGCTGCTGGGCACCTTTTCTCAGAACTGTTCTCTCCATTCAATCCATCTGCTTCAACCTGTGAGTCCTAATCTTGGGATCCCTAAACACTGTAAGAAGCCCCAACCCACATGGCCAATAGTAAGGGATTCTGGGAGTCGCGGTTCATTGTTTTAGGGCAGGGGTCGGCAACCTTTTTTGCCGATGGGCTGGGGGGGAGAGATGGCGCCCCCCAGGAGGCTTCCTTTGGCGACGACGGGCCTCCTAGAGGCCCAGTGCTGCCACGGGTGCCCCCTGGGAGGCTTCCCTAGGAGGCGATGGGCCTCCTCTGTGGCGGCATTTTGGCCGTGCGCGCCGCGGCCGCCATTTTGCTTTCCAAAATGGCAGCCGCAGCTTGTTCGCACATGCACAGGAGTACTGCGCATGCGCAAATGAGTCGCAGTCGCCATTTTGGAAAGCAAAATGGCGGTGGCAGGCGCTACAGCGGCGGGCGTCCACCAGGGCCTGTCACCAGGGGTCCGCAGGCCGAGTGCAGCCCATGGGACGCAGGTTGCTGACCCCTGTTTTAGGGGGACACACAGGTTGGTAACCACTAACTTAAATCATGATACCCCTACAGCCAATGTTTTCAATTGTATTGTCTTGTAATGTTGTAAGCCACCCTGAGTCCCAGTCCTGGGAGAAGGGCGGGATATAAATGAATATAATAATAATAATAATAATAATAATAATAATGTTTAATCAGACGTTGGGACTGTCTACTGCCATGTAAGTGCATAGAAGAATGTAGTCTGGCTAAATATATTGGGAAAAGATCAAATTAATGTCAAATAGTATTAGGCATTCCTTTTCTAAAATGTTACCCCTAAAAATCATTTAATTCTGTGTGCCTCTTACAGATTTACACGCACTTAATTATATGTCTTTTTTTGCTCGTGAGTACTACTATTTTACTTATACTATATTAACAGAATAAACTGTATTTCCAAATGATTGGAAAAGCTTTCCTATTGCAGACTATAAAATGTACAGTTCTCAGTTTTTCCTTGGTACAATTTTTAAAAGCCATTTTGTACACACACCCATTTTAGCTGGGTTTTTTCGTTCTAATTGAGCATCTCCCAATGCATAAATATCTCCATTTGTGAGGCTAAAGTTCATCTGTAACTGTCAAATTTTAAGCAAGTGTTCCATTGCAAAAGGGGGGGGGGGAAAGTACTATAGCTTAAAAACCTCAAATACTGGAATTAAAATACGTGACATTCTAAGCATAATGTTTTCTTTTTGTATCGTGAGTAATTGTAGCAGCATGTCTGAACCAGCGTTGAAGACAATGCAAAAAAAGATCTTCGATTACTGCTCATGTTGCTCATTTATATGCAAGACCAGAAGCAACCTCCAGTGTCAGACTGGTGTCCAATATCATTTTAGACACAGTAACAGAGTTCATGTTACATACAATGTCTTCTTTTTCTCAAATGTCTTAAGTGTCTTCCTCACCTCTAAAGCTACATAACACCAGGTGGGATTTTCCCCCATTTTTATACATGATCTAAGTTGTTAAGCTCTGTACAGTATAAGAATACTGCTTTTTATTCTATTGTGTCCAGGGCTTTCCTCTTCTGGTTTGCATTTTGGTTCAGCTGCTATCTGGTACATATCTTCCAAGCAACACACAGCACAAATTAACATACAATGGCAACTTCCAAGTTAAACGTATACAATATAAGCTATATTTCATCAATAAAATTTAAACAGAGATTAAATATTTAAAACTTGTAGACCAAGACTGTCTGCACATAGGAAATTTAACAGCTTTTTACACTGGTTACTGAACATTTTCTGTACTGAAAACCATGGCTCCATCTGCAGCATCAAGTCCTCTCTTCTATTGCCCCTATTAGCTAAAGTTATTATTATTAACATGATCATTCCTCTTTGTATCAATCAGAAAAGGTACGGTAATCTGTCATGACGATTTTCAGAGAAGCAATGCTAAAATATTTTTTTCAGGTGACTGCAACCCACATCTATCTATTTGGCATTCACTATTACAAGTCCTATTATCAAGCCCTTCAAAAAGATACGCCTTCCAAGATCTAAAAGCCATTACCATATTTCAATGAGGTTTTGCCATTTAAAGTACTCAGACAAACCACAGACCATGTCTACATCATGTTAAGTGGGCAAAATACCAATGCGTTGCAGACCAGGCATGCCTCTTTTTTAAACAACAGCAATAGATATCATTATACTGAATCCATATTGATTTAAAGGTGCCAAACACTCAAGATAACAATATTTGCTATACCTCTATACTGAAGATACCTTCTTCCTTTCATTTTCAGACAGTATTTATAAACAGAAACAACTGCTTTTTGGGATACGGTTTCTATTAAAATATTACAGCTTAGCTGTATAGCATAGTGGTTTGAGTACTAGACTATGACTCTGGAGACCAGGATTCAAATCCTGGCTCAGCCATGAAACCCACTGGGTGACCTTGAGCAAGTCACATTCTCTCAGCCTCAGAGGAAGCAGAGGCAAACCTTCTCTGAACAAATCTTGTCAAGAAAAACCCCATGATAGGTTCGACTTGAAGGTACATAACACACATACACACTGTTTCTATTAAAATATTACAGCTTATCTTAGCAGCATGACAAAAACAAGACTAGAAACAAACATTTTTTTTTCTCAAGAAACTTGGCAAGTCAAAGAGACACATTTGAACCGCAGCCAGAAAAAGCAGCAAAGCAAAAACTTTACACATGCTGCCTCTGCACTGCAGAAATAATCTGGTTTGACACCGCTTTAACTGCCATGGCTCAATGCTATGGAATCCTGGGAACTGTAGTTGATCCTTAGAGCTACAATTCCCAGAATTCCCTAGTATTCATTGAGCCATGGCAGCTAAAATGGTGTCAAACCAGGATTATTTAAGGGAGTCAAACACTCAAAATAACAATATCTTCTATACCTCTGTACTGAAAATACCTTCTTCCATTCGTTTTCAGACAGTATTTATATAAAAGCTCTGGTGCCACAACCAACTACAATTCCCAGAATTCCACAGCTCTGAGCCATGGCAGCTAAAGTGGTGTCAAACTGGACTATTTAAGAGAGCCAAACACTCAAGATAATATTTTCTGTACCTCTGTATTGAAGATACCTTTTCAGACAGTATTTACACAAAAGCTCTGGTGCCACCTCCAACTACAGTTCCCTGAATTCCACAGCAGTGAGCCATAGGCAATTAAAGTGGTGCTAAACCGGATTATTTCTGCAGTGTGGATGCGGCCACAAACACAGACTTGGAACCTGAAATAAATATATAAATCTAAGGCACTGTAAAGGGTTGCTGCGGCTACTTGCAGCCAGCCTCCCAACACAACACCCCCCCGCTTCTTCCTAACACCCATCATCCCCATCCCTTAGGTTTTACAGTTGTTATCCTGTTAACAAGCAGGAAAATGGAAGCTGTTGCTGCTCACTTCCAAACCCAGTCTCCAGGCGCTGGCCATGGCGGAGGCAGACAACACAAGGGGGTGAACAGAGAAGAAACCAGGCATCCTCCATTCCCAGCCAGCACTGGAAAAGTTATCCAAGCGGAGGGCAAAGGAAAGACAGGGAGGCTGGAAACTGGGGGCTTTGGAGTCTGCTATTCCTCTCCCTCCCAAATTTAACTGGATTTTTCTTGCCTCTTGCTGGTGTTGCTGTTATTGCTGTGCTAGGGTGATCAGACGTCCTCCTTTTCTAGGACCTGTGCTCCATTTCAGGAGGGATTCCAAAATGTCCTCCATTTCAAGCATCACTAAGAAACATTAATTTAATATTTCTATGAGGGTTTTTGAGCTTTTCTTTGGTCAGGTCCTTTATTTTTTATGTCTTCCATTTGTCCTCCTTGTCGTGAGGACATCTGGTCAACCTTCATCAGACCTGAGACTCCAATGGATCCAAATACTGCCTCCCCAGTAAGTAATTTGGGCAGGAGATGAGTAAATGGAGTCAGTCTTTGAGATGAAGAAGCAGGATGACCAGACGTCCTCCTTTTCCAGGACACATGCTCCATTTCATCCTAGGAGGAATTCAAAAATATCCTCCATTTTGAGCATGAATAAGAAAGTTGACTTATTATTTACATTAGTGTTTGTAGCTCTTTTTTTTGGTCATGTCTTCAATTTTTTCTTGAACGTCCTCCATCTTCCAGTGCCTTGTCCTCCTTTGCGGTTGAGGACAGCCAGTCACTGTGTATTGTGTGCCTCCAAGTCCTTTTTTGAGTTTATGGCAACCCTAAGGAGAACCTCCTAACACAGGGTTTCCTTGGCAAGTTTCTTCAGAGGGGGTTTGCGGTGGCCATTCTCTGAGGCTGAGAAGGTGTGACCTGCCCAAGTGGGTTCTTATGCTCGAACCCTGGTCTCCAGAGTCATAGACCAAACACATTCAAAACCACACTGCCCTACAATGGCTCCTTGCCCCTCATCTCACCCCTTTGCAACCCAGATATATCTACAGAATACAAATGAAATAAAAGCAAAAAAGACTAGATAAGCCTCAAACCTTCAAGAACAGCTATTTTTCCCTCTCCATTCCTTCCAGGACCTTCATGGGAGCAGGGCGACCAGACGCCCTCCTTTTCCAGGACATGCCCTACATTTCAACCTCTCTGTCCAGGAGAGGATTCCAAAATGTCCTCCATTTTGAGCCTGACTAAGACGACTGAATTTAACATTTTTATGCCAGTGTCCTTAACTTTTTTATTTTGCAATGTCCTCCTCTTTTTTATTTTATTTTATTTTTTATTTTTTTTTGGGGCCTGGCACGTCCTCCATTTTGCGGTGAGGACATTGGGGTCACCCTGCAATGAATGGGGAGAGACACCTACCCAAAATACACGTGAAGGGGAAAGAATACACGTGAAGGCTTCTTCTCACACACGCCCTTCCCCTCCCAGTTAAATCCTTCAGTTCTTTAAATTCTTAAACCCTTTTTCTTTCTCCTCCCCACACAAAACTCGACACCACACCAAGAAAAGTATGTGTTTGTGTGTGTGTAATGAGTGTGTTGTCTGTGTGAGGCGAGACTTCTCGCACTTTCTCCTCCAGCCTGCCCTGAGTTCGACTCCTGACACGCTCCACAAAACCAAGGGCGCCCCCTCCTGGAACGAAAACCTTAGCTGCCTTGTACTGTATTAAGCTTTTTAAATTTGTAACGAGATCGACTCGACTCGAGAAGGGCACTTAACAACAACACCCATTTTGTGTCCCCAATATTTTGAGGGGAGGGAGGAGAAAGCGGGATAATCAATAAGTATATTTCGGCTCGACCACGGAAACTGCGGTGACCTTGGGCGAGTCACACACTCTCAGCCTCAGAATGGCACCCAACCAAAAAAAAAAAAAAAAAAAAAACCTTGGTAAGAACAACCCTGTTATAGGGTCGCCTTAAGGTCCCCATAAATAGGAAACGGCTTGAAAGCGCACAACAAGAACAAGAAATAATAGTAACAATAACAACAAATGGCTCCTCAAACTCGCTCCACTCGAAGTGGCCGGTCGTTGCGGGTCAAGAAGAGGCTCCTGGCCCCCTTCCCGCCTCCCTTCCTTCCCCTCCTGCGGTTCTTTCCTCCCCCGAAGCTTAGCCGGACTCACCGAGAAAGGAGCCGAGCGCGCCTCTCTTCTCCCTTCCTTCACGCTCAGCTCGCAGCCGCCATTTTGATCGCTGACTCGATTTAAAATAGGAACCAGCCTCCTCAGGAGCAGCTGCCAGCAGCTAGAGCCGCAGCCAGCCCTGTGAGCGCGAGGCCTGCTGGGACTTGTAGTCCGCTAGCGCCCCCCCTCCGCGAGAGGCAGAGCGTAGAGAGGCAGCAGCTCTGTGGACTCCAAAGGCTTTACGGTGCCGCCCACAGCCTAGGCCCCGCCCCCCTCTCCGGTCACGCAAAGCCCATTGGGAATTGTAGTCTCTCTGCAATTTCCTGCCCCTTGCAAAGGGATGTTGCCACAGCTCTGAGACTACAGGCGGGTTCGTCCAGAGAGATATGATCTTTCGGATAGTCTGAACCTATGCCGTGCTTTTGTTTGACTAAACACACTACAGAAATAATCCAGTTTGAGACCGCTTTAACTGCTCTAGCTCAGTGTTAGGGAATCCTGGGAACTGTAGTTTATTATGGCACCACACCTCTCTTACAGAGAAAGCTAAAATGTCTCACAAAACTGGAGTTTTGTGAGGCATTAAGCCTTATCTCTCAGGGAGCTCTAATGCCACAATTAACTACAAATCCCAGGATTCCCCAGCACTGAGCCAAGGTGGTCTCAAGATGGATTATTTCTGCAGTATGTTTTGGAACTAAGGCTGCCTCTGCACTGCAGAAATTATCTGGTTTGACACCATTTTAACCGCCCTGGTGCAAGGCAATGGAATTCTGGGAATTGTAGTTTTTTGTGGCACCCACATCCCTTGAGCCAGGGTGGTTAAAGTGGTGTCAAACCGGATTATTTCTGCAGTGCAAATGCAGCCTGTCTGAAAAAAATCCAAAGGTCCAAAACTCACTGCAGAGATAATCCAGTTTGAGACCGCTTTAACTGCCCTGGCTCAGTGCTAGGGAATCCTGGGAATTGTAGTTTATTGTGGCATCAGAGCTCTCTGACAGAGAAGGCTCAATGTCTCACAAAACTACAGCTCCCAGAATTATCTAGCCTTGAGCCCAGGCAGTTAAAGCGGTCTCACACTGGATTATTTCTGTAATTGCTTCAGACCTTCATCTGGAAAATCAGTATGCAAAGGGATCTTGTAGCTAGCACCTTTGGGACTAATGAAAGAGAGAAGAAGAATGCATCTGAGGAAGTAGGCTCAAGTCTAGGAAAGCTCATGCTACAAACTTCTGTTTTTTAGTATGCAAAGGGATCTTGCATATTTGAGACTAACTGAGAGCTCTTCACATCCTCAAACAAGAAAAGAAACACAGCATTAATGCTTAGTAGTCACAACAGTAGGCCTCCTCACTAACTCCCATGTGAAATGCCCAAGGACAACATCTGTTGTCCTTGCCCAGTTAGCCAAGCTCTTTTTCCCAAACGGTGTCCATGAATTGCACTATACAGCTTAAGAGATCCAGCATTTCAGAGCACTAGTGCAGAGGAAACTCATGGATTTTGTGGAACAGGATTCCCCTAAATTAGGGGTAGGCAACCTTTCCCCTTTAAGGGCCGAGGGACTTCAGCTCCCAGAATCCCAGGAGCTATTGGCCAACATGGGACTATTGGCCAACATGGCTGAGGCTTCTGGGAGCTGAAGTCCCTCGGCCCTTAAAGGGGAAAGGTTGCCTACCCCTACCCTAAATGATTAGTATGCAAAGTGTAGCCCTCCAGATTTTGCTGAACTGCAGCTCCCACCATTCCTAACCATTAGCCATGCTGACTAGGGATGCTGGGAGGTGTAATTCAGCAATATGAGGAGAACCACACTCTGCCCCCAAATCTATC